TGATAGAATATTTGCATTATCACATCTCAATTTTGATTTATCTGTTTACGATATTTTTGGAATGTTAATTGGTGGTGGAACTATAGTAATTCCAGATGATGACCAATATAAAAATCCCGAACATTGGTATGATATGATAATTAAACATCATGTCACTATTTGGAATAGTGTTCCAATGCTCATGCAAATGTTTGTTGAACATCTCAAACATACAAATAATCATAATCAATTACGACATATCTTATTAAGTGGTGATTGGATACCGCTATCGCTACCAGAGTCAATACACGCAACATTTGGTGAACAAGTAATAATAACTAGCTTAGGTGGTGCAACAGAAGCATCTATTTGGTCAATTGCCTATACTCTATCAAAAGAAATACCACGAGAATGGAAATCAATTCCTTATGGAATACCATTAAGAAATCAACAATATTATGTTTATGATCTACATCTTGATGATTGTCCTGAATGGGTCATTGGTGAATTATATATTGGTGGTAAAGGTTTAGCTAATGGCTATTGGAATGATCAAGAAAAAACACAATCAAGTTTTATTATTCATCCATTAACTAATAAATGTCTTTATCGAACAGGTGATTATGGTCGATTTCTACCAAATGGATATATTGAATTTACAGGACGGAAAGATTTCCAAGTAAAAGTACATGGTCATCGTATTGAACTTGGTGAAATTGAACATCATTTACAACAACATCCAGACATTCAACAAGCTATTGTTAATATTGATAACAAATCCCAACAGTTAATTGGATATATTATGCCAGAAAAACATTTTATTCATAATAAAGATTATGATTCAACAGAGGTGTTAATTGCTTATCCTATTGAACGTATGAATTTTAAGCTTGCAAGACATAGTATAAGGCAACAAAAGAAGGAAGAAAAGAGCTTTGCTCTAACAAAACCAAAGCTTACAGAAACATTAATCAATACATATTATATGAGAAAAAGCTATCGACAATTTACAAATGAAAGTATCGAAAGATCTACTATCGAGAAGTTGTTAAAAAACTGTCACAACATCAATAATAACGAGCAAATATCTTTATCTGGCCTTGATTTTAATATCCTTGGTCAATTATTAGCAGTATTAACGCCGATCAGTATTTCTGATCAACCTTTACCAAAATATCGTTATGCCTCAGCTGGCAGTCTTTATCCAGTACAGATATATGTTGAATTACCAACATCTATAGATAATATTTTGCCTGGTGTTTACTATCATAATCCAGATGAACATACTTTAGAACTAATTAGTACTCATACTAATGATGAAATGATGAATATAAGATTACATCTTGTTGGACGATCATTAGCAATTGCACCGCTATATGGTAAAAGATTGGGTTCTCAATTTTGTATGCTAGAAACAGGATATATGATGGGATTATTGGAAGAAGAAGGATCGAGATTGGGGTTGACATTCTCAAAAAATACTTATAACGAATCTATAACTCTCGATATTTTGAATATAGATGAGAATGATACACATTGTTGTTTCAAAGTTTCATCATTTAAGCAAAATATGTCTAGTGATGTACAAAATGATAATCATCAATGTATTATTTATCTAAAATCGGTCAACAATAACAAAGACCAATGGTTTACTTATAGTAGAGAAAAGGATACTGTTACATCTTTTGATGTCGACGCTGAAACTACACGAGAAGAAATACCACTACTCTTTGATGATGACGATGATACGAAGATTATATTTCATGATTGTCAATGTGTAATTTTCTTCATTGGGCGATCAGAATGCATAACGAACATAGGAAAGATATCCCAATTCTTAATGGATCATTGTTTAGAAATGAATATTGGTATGTGTCCAGTTGGTACTCGTACTGGCCTTCCAACAAAAATTAATAATATATTAGATACTATCCTTATTCATGAAAAACTAAATGCAAGTGATATATTACATACATTACTTATTGGAAAGATTAGTAATAAACAAAAAAATGAACGCACTATTTCAACAGTGAAACCAATGCCACACTGGAGCGAAATATTACGAATTTATCTAAAGAAAAAGCTTCCAATGTATATGGTACCATCGCATTTTATAAGTGTTTCGTCATTTCCATTAAATCCAAATGGTAAAATTAATCGAAAAGCTCTACCAGAAATATCACTATCAGTGCTTCAACAAGAAGATACATATGATGCACCAAATAGTGAGTTAGAAAAGACGATTGCGAATATCTGGCAAGAAATATTATACACAGATCGACTTATTATACAACATGATGACCTGAAATCGAATAAGCTGCCAACTATTGCAAACGAAACAGTATCTTCGATATATTATCCAACTATAAACGTCTCTGATAGAAATAGACAAACACCTTTTCTTATATCTACTACAGCTAGTTTCTTCAGCGTTGGCGGCAATTCCCTTTTGCTTGTTAAGATCTATCAACATTACCAATCAAAATTTAACTTCGCAAGAGAAGCATTGAGTATTAGATCATTGTTTGACTATAACACCATAGTTGAACACGCAAAACTACTTGAAGCAATCATCATCGATAGTGCACAACTAAAACAATGGCATACGCTGCATATTAATGAAGGTAAGATATTTTTAATTTACTTTTTCAATAGCTAAAAATATTATTTTCACAAATTTTAGGTATCGCATCGTATGCTCAAGAACGCATATTTCTTGATGAACAAGTTCGTTTCTATGATCAAACTGCCATTTACAATCAGCTGATTATTCTGAGAGTTACAAAAGGCTTATTATCAGTGAATCGTTTATTGAAAGCTCTTCGTTATGTCCTAAGTAAGCATACGATATTAAGAACTTCTCTAGCTTTCAATGATGAGGATAGTATTTTAAAACAATCTATCACTGATAAACATCTGACATTTACATTGACTGCCGATCAAACATTCAAAAATGAAACTGATCTTCATAACATTGTTTCACAAATAAATACTAATCCTAATTTGTTCAATTTATCAAGTGGTCGTGTTTTTTATTGTCAAATTCTCAGAAAACATATTGTATCTGATGAAAATTATGACAAAGAAATTATTAAAAATTCTGACGTTTTCGTTATCGCTTTTCATCATGTTGCAACTGATCAATCAAGTGACTCAATTTTTTTAAGTGATTTATGTAATACTTACAATAGTCACATGACGTGGTTAGATGACGAAGAATCATTACAATATATTGATTATAGTGTGCATGAGCGTCTGATCGATATGACATCATCACGCGAGTTTTGGTGTTCTCAATTAAATGGATACAATCAAGAATGTCGATTGTTACTACCAGTTGATCGTGATTGCTTATACAGTGATCAACGATCTGGATATGCCTCTATTGCTCGTACTTCATTTGATAGTGAGGTCTCGATATCATTTCTCAATTATGCATCTTCACATCAAGTCACACCATT